AGGCAGCAGCAAAAGTGTTCTTTAGTCAAGGTAATTCTGAATGGAGTATTTACAAATCAACAGCATTGGTTGACATTGAAAAATTTGTTTTTCAATTTTTGGAAAACAAAAATTGGCCCTTTGAGTCACACATAAAAATATACTGATTTCAACTAAACGTGCAGTAAAAGGAAACTAAGCAAAAAATATTGTACCTCTCAAGGCTTTCTCTCTCTCAAAATTCATTTGGTTTGAGGAAATTTTATTGCCATTGCAAACATTTTTGCTACTTATCACCAAGAATAACTCTTTTAAATGACTTATTCAGCACTCCAAAATGACTGAAATGGTGCAGTGAGAGAAATATTGAGAGCAATCATAATAATTAAGAGTTACCAATTGTTGCCCGGCCAGTGTTGCTCAATGGTTAAGCATTGACCCATGCACCAAGGGATTACCGGTTCCCAGTCAGGGCACATGCCCAGGGTTGCAGGCTGAATGCCCGGTAGGGGGCATTCAGGAGGCAACCCGATTAATGATCCCTCTCCCTCTCCCTTCCTCTCTGAAATCAATAAAAATATACTTTAAAAAAAAGAGTTGCCAATTTTTAAGCACAGATTATGTATGAGGAACTAGGTCACATGTTCTGCATACATCATCTATTTAATCCTTACTGTAATCTATGAAGAGACACTCATAATTTTCCCATTTTACAGATGAGAAAACTAAGACACAGAGCGGAAGTGAGTGGGGCACAGACTTGGGTGCCAGGCTCAGGACTTTGGACCTTGAAAGTGTTATGCAGGGAAGTGTCTGTGTTTTGAGAAGATAATTCCTTTGACTCTGCGTAAGTTGGGCTGAAGGTGAAGAACACAAATGGGTGAGCACTAATTGGGAGACCATCATTCACTCTCCCCATAGACACTCCAGCTCTGCAAAACAACAATGTGCTGAGGACTTACTGATCTTGTGTCTTTCTACTTACTGTCATCTTGCGGCAGCACCATTCTTCCCTTTGCCTCTCTGGCAAATTCCTACTCCACCTTCCGGAGCTGGTTTAAGGAACAGTTCCTCTATGAATAATTAGGTACCGGTAACTCGCCATTGGCCTGTGTGAGTGGCAGC